TTACTCATTTACAAGATGGTGTACTTCATTCAATGGAACTTCTACAAAAGGTATATGATTTATTTGATTATCAAAATAATTTATTTTTTATTTACCATTAATTTAATTTTTGATTTTGGTAGGAAGCGCTAAATGGACCTGATAATTTGCGAACAATGATTGTTTTAATATTTCTTCAGCTTTTGAGTTTTTCAAAGCTAGCTTGTGAAGCTCCCACTTATGGTAAAATTCCAACAAAACACATCTCCCAAATCAGAGGTGTATCTGTGCGTATTTGTTTAGTTTTGTTATTTAATTGATTATCACATTATCTTTAAAAAAATATTATTTAGTTCTTTTTATTTATTTAGACTGATTGGGTGACTATGAATTATGTTCCTTTTGGAGAGAAAGCTTTATCAATGGTCGTAACATTATATCAAAAAACAGCACACGAAATGGCAGTTATAGATGGGCAAGTTTTAAAGCATATTATAGAAGCGTTACACGTGCCTTTATCAATGAAGTATGCTTGTCCATCACCAACAACTTGGAAATTAGCTGTTACTAGTCTACTTGCTGTTTTACATACCGGCTTACCCTTGGCCAGGAAATATCCAGAACAGTTTCAAAGTATGTGGCCGGAGCTTGCGATTACCTTAGATGATTTTCTATTTCCAAAAAGGTAATTAAAAATAAATTTAGTCTTTGTTAATTTTTATTACCAATAATCGTTACAGATCACAAATAAAATCATAACATAGTAATAAATTCTCGTTACATTATTTTATAATTATTTATCGAAAAATAATATTTTAATATTATGTTACAGTGTATTAAATATTGAACGAGGTGTTGAAGAAATTCAAGCAGATGAAGCTGTAGACTGCCAAGTTATGGAACTTTTACGAGATGAAGTTCTACCACATTCTCAATACATACCTCATCAATTTATTTTACGAGTAGTTATGTTATTAAACAAAGGGTCTATACATTCAGCGACTACAACAAATATCGGTAATATTTTTTTACCTTTAATAAAGAAGAAAATGTAAAACTAAAATTCTAAATGAGAAATATTATTATCTTTCATTATTGTAGAAAATAGTGGCGAAACTAAATTAAGAGAAGAATTTGCGAAAACATGCTTTGAAACGTTACTTCAATTTTCTCTCTTGGATGGATTAAATAATGAATCAGATCATGATACAACCAAAAGTTCTGAAAATGATGAAGGAGGTGTTGCTGGACGATTAGCAGTCACTGCACTTCTTCATAGGTTTCAAGAAGTTTTACGACGATATATTGAAAATGAGAGGCGAAGTGGAAAATGTCCATTACCTAGGTAATAGTTTTGTTTAAATTAAACCTTTAAGCTTCTTTCTAAATAAATGCTTTTGATTGATTGATTAAATAAATTCTTTGAGTTAAATAATTTTAATTAAATATTTCTATAATCTTGTACAATTTTATTGGAGATAAATGTACTATATATATTTATTTTTAAGTACTTATTATATAAACCTTTTCTAGGTACAGATTATCAGAAATTTCATTTGTTTTGAAAGCTGTTGCAACACTTGTTGTTTCTCTAAAAAAAGCTCCACCTAATAAAGGTAATTATATTTATATATGAAATGAAATGGAAATGGAAAAAAGTACTTCATATTAATTAAAGTATTTCATTTTAACTTTTATAACAATATGTCTTTTCATATTCCATTTATAAATAATGTTATACAAAAAACAATGGAACTTAAATTTTACTTTTTAGTTGAAAGATCAGTTTGGGAACAACTGATCGGGCTTTATCCTTGTTTAGTAGAATGTACAATAGCTACGGCGTCAGGTCAAGTATCAAGATCTTTACGGGAAGCTTTGCTGCAATATCATGATCTATTAAGACCACCGCTTCATAGTTCCACAACATCTAATGGTGTTTGACCATTGCATTCTTTGCTCCTAACTCGAAATAACAATGTTTGCTACGTAACTAAGTAGTAAACTTTTTATAATTACAGCTACGTGTACAATAAATTTTGTCATAAAATTTTTACTTCCGTGTACACGTATAAGGTAAATAATCTAAGGTGAAGTATCATTAAAAATCTTTAATTTATGTATGTACCGAAAAATTTGTCATACAAATTTTACAAAGTTTTCATTACATGCAACAAAGATAAGAAACATTTATCATCTTTATCTTTATAAATCTTTTAATTCCATAAATTGCAATAGATTTTTATAGAATGATATATTTAATTAGCAGGTTAATATTTAAAGTTTCAATTATGATTACTTTATTTATTTAACATTTAAAGAACTTCAATTCTTTTAAATATTTTGCTTTCTACAAAAATGATGATGAAATTCTCTTTATTTTGCAGTTTATAAAGTCTTAAAGTAACAAAGAAATGTTATATACAGCATTAATATTTATTAATAGAAAAAGTTGCACATAATTTTTAGTTGAATTAGCTTATTATCTACCATGAGAAAAAAAACAGAAGTAATATAATATGGTCTCTCATGTTTGAATAGCACATAAAAATATGTAGTCTTAGGAAGTCGAAGCAAGTATACAAAAGTTGTGTTAAATATGTACTTGATTAAGCATAAATTGATTAACTATTACAAATTATATATACATGCCATGCTACTGTACATAGTTGATGTACAACTTGGCTTTTCTAATACATATTGTAAATATTGAATGAATTGCGATTAGAACATGCAGTACGATTTTATAAATATAAAATTATTATTCGCTATTCTTACAATGATACAATTATTGAAAAGCTATGATATAATGATGTAAATAGCCAAACAAAAATTCAATAAAAATCTGAAATATTTATTGCTATTTTTGTATAGAAATCGTGCCTTCATATATTTTTAGAATTTGTATTTTTTAATATTTTTGTAATATAGCATAATTTTTAACATTACGTTTTTAAAAAATTTGTAAACAATTGAATGCACTAAAGCTTACTTTTGAGATCATTCTTTTATTATTTATTAATTGCATATAAATTATTTCTATTTTTTATAATTGTTCATCATATTATTTTATTCTATCTAAAATATTTAAGTTTATATTCAAAGTAGACGTATTTCAAAAAAATTAGGAAAACTTAGTAATATTACATTTTGAATTTATTTTATTACATACTAGGATTTAATATATATATATTTTTTTTCTACATTTAGTTTCGTAGTTTAAATTTATTAATTAAATGTTTGATGTTAGTTAATTCAATTAATGGATATTAGGAAACAGTACTTGGTTCGATTTCTCTTAATGGACGAGCGCCTTAATAAGAAGTGTCTTTAAAACGTAGATGTCGCATCTGTAACCGGAAAACTTCTAGAATTAATCAAATTTCAATAAAAGCCTGTTATAGGACATATTTTTACGATATTACTTTGTATTGATTATGAAATAAATTCAAAAATTTTATTTATGTTTAAGCGAACGAATATGTGTTAACAAAGAAGTGTTAAATTTGATTCATGGTGTATTTTCGAGTGACGCCGCAGCCATGATTGTTTAGTTTCGGGGGGATGAAAAGTGAACGCGAGCAACGGATTTAAATGAAACGCGTGTGATTACAATATACCAACTTATTTCTATATTTGATGAATGTGTCTGTTAATTGAGAGATATGGTAAGCGGTATCATAAGTTGAAACATGAGTTAAGTGTTCATTCATGCGGGATAGTTTTCGCGGGAATTTTCAGGCGTTACAATTGTTGGGTGCCGCCGCTTCCGCGGCACAACATTGCACTTTCAAACTTTCGATCGATTTATACCTAACATACAGAATCATCGACTAAAATGAGCATCGTGTATAGTTTATGTTTTAATATTTCTTTTATTTGATTTCTTGGTGCTTACTCGGTTGTGCACGTGAAAGATTCACTATTTCTGTGAAGATACTAGAAAATGTAACCGAGTATCACACTGCATATAAATCGATATATACTTCTGAGTGTGTATAATGTGTTTGTCCAATGTGTGTATGCGTACTGTGACGTTTGAATGTGGGTATGCATATTACACGCACACGTATGCACACATATACACATGGTCACTGACAGAGCATGCATGCATATATATATATATATATATATATATATGGATATGGTAATATACGTATGTAGTATATATGTGTGTACATATCGTATATATGTTTTTATATATGCATATGCATATACATACCACTACAAGAAACTGGGGATCAGGAACGCCCCTTTTTACGATACGATCGAATTTCTTTCCCGCGCAATTTCTAAGATACGATTAAATGTTAATAATTGTTTAATAATCGGTATTTTCTGATCATTTACATATTTATTTAATGTATGATCTGATTGTCCTTTTTCCTTCTTAAGTTTACTTTTCGATTATAATTTAAAACAATAAAATTTTACATTTATTTCATGTGAATTTTTGTCATTTTTTACAAAATTAAAAATTTACATCTTACATTTAAAAGAATGTAGGTTTATCTTAAAATGTTGTTTTTTAAATATAGTATATTAATTTAGGAAAAATAAGTTACTTACATAAAATTTAGAAAATATATATCAGAGATATAATGTATAATTTTATTGAAATTATTATTCAATTTAAATAGATTTATTTATACCACAATTGTTACAATAAAGTTTGTATTTAAAATAATTTTGAAGAAAATATATTTTGATAAAAAAAAAAAAACAAGGAAATAGAATCAAAAGTATAAAGACCAAGTTTTCTTCTGTATGTTTACTTCATATCATTTATCGTTATTAGAAGAATATAATTAAGAAGAATATTTTTAGACAGTATTATACTATAAAAAATGTATTTATGAAAGGAATGAATAGATATATAATTATTATAATATTAATAAATACAATCTTTAAAAATTTCTATAAGTGTATATATGTCCCTTTCTGTCAGTTACAAAAGATCTAGTTATGTTCGATGAATAATTTTATACTTTATATTAATTTTAATAATATAATAACATTTTATGATTTCACATTGTTTTAGGGAATTTAAATACTTATTTGAAATGTGGTTACGAAGTGAACATGTTAGTAGAAGACTACGTGGTCGTTTAAATATAAGTTGTGTATCCAGAACTAAGATATCCAATCATCGGGTACAAGTCAGCAGTTTACGGAAACTTCCTTCTATAAATAATAATAGTCATCGCATTAATATTCCAAATAAATGTGGTAGGCTGACAAGATGGAGACGTAGATGTACTCATTTTCTGAAAGAGGTATACATTAATTTTTATTTTTTCTTCGATCTTAATTTTTTACGTGTTGCATCTTTCTGTGTTGCCATCCAAGACATTGATATTCAATTATGATACTTCAAACCATATTATTATCATTAGCTTACTGTAAATGATCTTTGCAGGTCATTTATTAAAACAAACTTCACTATTCCTTAAAAAGAAATACTTTCTAACTAATCAGCGGTTAATGAGTGACTGACTAACTCTCAAGGATGTTATGCACTTAGATTCTTAGAACTACAATCGAAGCCATTTGGTTAATGTAAAGACTTCACTTCAGTTTTGTTAAAAAGATTATTATCTTCGTAGGCTTGTAAAGAAAATGTTTTACGTTTTGCGAAATCTGCGCCTAGTAGACGAGAGAGAGGACCTCGTAGAAGAAAATGCATAAAACGATCAATGGTTACTTCGACTCCCTTACACCGAACTTCTGCAAAAGATGTGGTTATTGTAAGTTATTACAAACTACTTTATTTTTAATTAACAAAAAATAATGGACATAAATCTTTTAGCCAGCAAAATGTGCAACAGCATCCAAAGTTTCTGAAGAATCTAAGGAAAATTGGAATACAACTAGTTTATCATTATATTCATCTATATTAAGTACAGATTCATGTTGCTCTTCTATATCCAGTGTAAATGATTTCAAATCTTCAATTCCAAGTGTATCACCACTGTCAAATCTAATGCCTCCTGCATCACTAGGATCAAATTCTGACCTTTCATATGTATTGGATAATGAAGAAAGCAAAAATATTGGTATATATGTATATATATCTATAAAAATAGTTTATTAATTTATCTTTTTGATACGTACAAAATCAGTCCATTTAATTTGTTACAGATACTAGTTCTCTATATTATTCCGCATCTTGTACACAAACAGAAACGTCTGAAGAATGCTATAGTTTAATGCATTCTACATCCATGTATGGAACTCGTTCTTATTCATCAGAAAAGTATTTTCCAAATGGAAAATATGCACTTAGCAACAATAATGCAAATAATAGTAATTTGTCAAAAAATCAATGTTCTGTTGAGAGCCATTTGTCAAAATATGAGTCAAACTTTGCCAATACAAAGTATGGTACATCAACCATGTACAGTTTAAGCCATCATCATTCATCAGATACGAACGGGAATGTTACTGAAAAATACGATTCCGATGATATCGAGAACGATTACCATGACGTTGAATATATGGAAGTTGGGAGTGAAGAAATAGTAGAAAGTTGTGATATGGAAAATATGGTTACTCATGTTCAAGAAGATTGGGAACCATTTGATCCTTATGTCTTCATTAAACACTTACCACCCTTAACTCCGGCAATGAGAGCCAGATGTCCTGCTCTTCCTCTTAAAACACGCAGCAGCCCAGAATTTAGTCTCGTATTAGATTTGGTATGTATGTCTTAAGTTATTTTATTAAAAAATAAATAATAAAAAATAATTCAGAAACAAAATAAAGCTTTAATAGAATCTACAAATATTACAGACTGTATGAACTGATATAAAAAGTTCTTTTTTTTTTTTTTTT